TCACACCTATGAACAAATGGACTTGGAAGACATATACAGAGTGTTCCATCCCACAACATCACATTATACATTCTTCACAGCAGCACGTGGGACATTCTCTAAAATAGACCATATACTAGCTCATCAAAAATATTTAAATCAATGCAGAAGAATTGAAATCATCCCATGCATGTTATCAGATCAGAGTACAATGAAACTAGAAATTAATGATAAAAGAAGCTGCAAAAAACCACAAACAAATGGAAATTGAATAGTACATGCTTGAGCAATCAGTGCGTCACAGAGGAAATTAAAGAAGAAATTGAAAATACCTACAAGCAAACAAAAATACAAATACAACTTACCAGAATCTGTGGGATGCAAAGAAAGCATTCCTCAGAGGAAAATTTATTGCACTGAGTTCTCACATCAGGAAAAAAAAAAACAAATACAAATAACCTGTTGCTACACCTCAAACATCTAGAAAAAGAAGAGAAAGTCAAGCAAAAAGCCAAAAGAAGGGAGGAAATTATAAAAATCAGAACCAAAATTAATACAATAGAGACTAAGAAAACAATCCAAAAAATCAATGAATCAAAGAGACGGTTCTTTGAAAGAATAGATAAAATTGAAAAGCCCCTAGCCAACCTTATTTTAAAAAGGAAAGAATAGCTCAAATTCATGCAATAAGGAATGGAAAAGGTGAAATCACTACAGACTCTTTGGAAGTACAGAAGATCATCAACACCTATTTCAAAAACTTCTACTCTCGTAGGTTCAATAACACAGAAGAAATAGACAGATTCCTAGAAACACATGAAGTACCAAAGCTGAGTCAAGAAGATGCAAAACTGCTGAATAACCCAATTTCTATTAATGAAATAGAAAATGTAATTAAGTCCCTACCTACAAAGAAGAGCCCAAACCCAGACAGATTCACTGCAGACTTCTACAAGAAATACAAAGAAGACTTAATGCTGACACTCCTCAAACTCTTCAATGAAATCGAAAGGGAAGCAATTCCTCGTAAGTCATTCCTGGAAGCAAATATAACTCTAGTACCAAAATCAGAGAAAGACCCAACTAAAAAAGAAAACTAAAGGCCAATCTCCCTTATGAACACAGAAGCAAAAATCCTCAATAAAATATTGGCAAACAGGATGTAGGAAATCATCAAGAAGATTATACACCACGACCAAGTGGGAGTCATCCCAGGCATGCAGGGATGGTTCAACATATGTAAGTCAATAGATGTAATCCACCATATCGATAAAGCCAAAAGCAAGAATCACACGATCATCTCTATAGATGAAGAAAAAGGTTTTGATAAGGTGTAACACTCATTCGTAATAAGAACCTTACAGAAAAGTGGAATTGATGATCTTTACCTCAATAAGATAAAGGCCTTTAACTCAATATGACAAAGATAATCTATGACAAACCTACAGCCAGCATATTAAATGGTCAAAAACTGAAGGCCTTTACCTTAAAATCAGGCACAAGACAAGGATGTTCCTTATCACCGCTCCTATTTAACACAGTACTGAAAATACTAGCCAGAGTAATGAGACAAGAGAGAGAAAGAAAACAGGTAAAGATAGGAAAAGAGGAAGTTAAATTATCATTATTTGCAGATGACATGATACTCTACATAGAACACCCGCAAAACTCCATTGAAAGACCCCTACATATAATAAATAAATTCAGTAATACAGCTGGAAGCAAAATCAATACTCACAAATCAATAGCATTTCTACACACTAACAACAAAATCACTGAGAAAGAAATAAAAGAAGCCACACCCTTCACACTAGCATCCAAAAAAAAAAAACATGAAATACTTATGAATTAATCTCACAAAAGTAGTAAAAGAATACAGGGAAAATTATAATACCCTGAAAAAGAAATTGAAGAGGACCTCAGAAAATAGAAAGACATCCCTTGCTCATGGATAGGAAGAATAAATATCATAAAAATGGCCATTCTCCCAAATCTGTTATTCAGATTCAATGCAATCCCAATGAAAATACCATAGACATACCTCATAGATCTAGAGAAATCACTCCTAAAATTCATCTGGAACCAGAAGAAAACTAGAAGAGCAAAACAATTCTAACCAGCAAAGGCAAGGCAGGAGGCATCACAATCTCTGACTTGAAGTTATACTACAAAGAAAGTGTAATAAAGTCAACATGGTACTGGAATAAAAACAGAGCCAAAGATCAATGGAATAGGTTAGAACATACAACTACAATACCAACACACTCAACCATTTTTTCTTTGATAAAGGGGCCAAACAGTTTCATTGGAAGAAGGACAGACTCTTTAATAAATGGTGCTGGAAAAACTGGCTCTCCACATGCTGAAAACTAAAACTCAACCCATGCCTATCACCATATTCTACATTAAATCTAAATGGATCAAAGATCTGAATATTAAAACAGAAACACTAACTCTGTTGGAAGATAAATTAGGTAAAAATCTTGAAGACATAGGAGTAGGAAGAAAATTCATGAACAGCAATCAAACCACATCGGAAATGCTTCCTAGAATCAATAACTGGGAACACCTCTTATTAAAATGTTTCTGCATGTCAAAAGAAATCTCCAGCATAGTGAAAAGAAAACCCACAAACTGGGAAAAAATCTTAGTGAACTGTCCCTCAGACAAAGGACTTCTGTCTAAAACATATAAAGAATTTTTAAAAATCAGACCCCAAAATCCAAAGACCCCATCCAAAAATGGACATCTGAGATGAATACACAGTCCTCAGATGAAGAAATACAAAAAAATGGCAAATAAATACATGAAAAATGTTCTTTATCATTACTCATTAGAGAAATGCAAGTTAAACCACTTTGAGATTTCATCTCCCTCCTGAAAGAATGGCCAGGATCAAGAAAACTACCAAACTACCAAAACTACCAAATGATGGAGAGGCTGTGGGGAAAAGGAAACTCTCCTGCACTGTTGGTGGGAGTGTAGACTGGTGCAGCCATTGTGGAGGTCACTCTGGAGATTTCTCAGAAAGCTGGGATTGGAAGTCCCATTGTTCCAGCTATTCCACTTCTAGGCATATTCCCAGAAGAATTGAAAACATCATACCACAGTGATAGATGTACAGCCATGTTTAAAGCAGCACAATTTGTAATAGCCAGATATTGGAAATAACCTAAGTATCCATGAACTGAAGAATGGGTAAAAAAGTTGTGGTATTTTTATACAATGGAGTACTACTCAGCTATAAAGAAGGATCACCTTGAGATGTTTATAAATAAATGGATACAACTTGAGACCATATTCATTAGCAATACAAATCAAACTCCCATGTATAAATACCGAATTGTCTCTATAGTGTAAGAAATGGTGAGGGTACATAAGAGTTTATAACAATCATGATTCCCAATTACACTGCCTTATAATGTCTGCATTCATTAATTGGAATGGTTTTATCCTAGTTTGCTTGATTTTATTATCTGTGATAGTATAGGAGCTCTTTTAAAGGAAAGAAGGCATTATAATAGCCAGAGCTGATGTAGTATCATCTTACTCTGAAATCCTACTATGCTTTTGTTTTTCTGTTGCCTTTATGTGTGATAATATAAATAAATTTTCTATGTAAAATGAGATAATATAGTAGCCATTGTTCATTCTCTGCAAATTGGTTCTGAAAGCATTGTAAGGCATTCATTTTCTTGAATGATTTTATACTCTTTTGTTATACTTGATACTATTGTATATGAAACTATGCTCAACTATTTCAAAGGAAGAGACACTATGGTATTTGCTGATAATTTTGAGTTGTCTTGTGGTAAAATGCTGTGTTACTTGCACACATCTGTGCAAGTTATATCTGCTTTGTTATGTCTTCTTTCTTCTTAATCTCTGTAAAACAAAAAAATTTTAAAAAAGAAACATATCTGACTCAAAAGGAAACTCATAGATTAAAAGTCAAAGGATTGAAAACAGTATTTCATGCAACAGGAACCCAGAAAAAATCAGGGGTAACTATTCTATTTGCAGACAATGTGAACTTCAAATCTAAAATAACTAAAAGAGATAAAGAAGGTCACTACATACAAATTAGTGGAAAAATTCAAGAGGAAGAAATAACAATTGTAAATATATATGCACCAAATACAGGAGCACCCAACTATATATGACAGTTACTAATGGACGTGAAAAACTAAATACACAAGAACACAGTTATAACAGGGGACTTTAACAGCCCATTGTCACAAAGAGAGAGATCAACTAGACAAAAAGTCAACAAAGAAATAATATAACTGAATCATACCTGTGAGCAATTGGACTTAGTAGATGTTTACAGAGTGTTCCAGGCAACCACATCAAATAACACATTCTTTTCAGCTGCACATGGGGCATTTGCCAAAATAGATCATATAATATCCCATAAAACATTCTTAAGTGAGTGCAAAGGTATTAAAATTATCCCATGCATATCTGACCACAGCACATTTAAATTGGAAATTAATGACAAAAGAAATTGCAAAACCAGCATAAATACATGAAAATTAAATAAGAAACTTTTGAACAACCAGTGGGCTACAGATGAAATTAAAAAAGAAATAAGCAATACCTACAATTCAATGAAAATGCAGAAATAACATTGCAATCTGTGGGATGCAATGAAAGTGATCTTATGAGGGAAATACATAGCAATAAACTGTCATATCAAGAAAACAGAATGAGCATAATAAACAACCTAATGCTTCATTTCAAGGTTCTAGAAAAAAAAAAAGAGCAAGTTAAACCCAAAGCTCATAGAAGAGAGGGAATTGTAAAGAGTAGAGCAGAAATGAATGCAATTGAAACTAAAAAAATACAAAGAATTAATGAATCAAAAAGCTGTTTTTTTGAGAGAATAAACAAAATTGATAAACCTCTAGCTAACCTTATCAAGAAAAAAGAACGAAAAATCCAAATTCACACAATAAGGACTGAAAAGGGGGGAAATTATGACAGACTCTATGGAAATTCAAAAGGACATAAATACCTACTGTGAAAATCTCTGCTCACATCTCCTGCAGAGGAGGAGCTGGGCGGATCCGGAGTCCCTGCAGAAGCCCGTTCCTTTGTCTGAAGGACTGAATACTTCTGCAAGCAGGGAGGCATCGCAGCTTCCTGAGGCACCTCAGCCTGTGGTGAGTGCCCAGCACAGTCTGCCCAAATCTCAGACTGTTCCGGACCCCCCAGGCTTCTGGGTGCAGTGAAGTGGAGCAGTGGGTTAGAGGCCACAACAGCTGCCTCCCCCCCCCCCCCCCCCCCCCGGCTACACTTGGAAGTCTGCTGAGCTCCTGACGGATGGGCGGGCCTACACTAACCCCCGAGCCCAGCCGCGCCTAGCCATCTGCCTGCAGAGGAGGAGCTGGGCGGATCTGGAGTGCCTGCAGAAGTCCCTTCCTTTGCCTAGAGGACTGTGGATATCTCTGCAAGCAGGGAGGGATCACAGGCTCCTGAGGCACTGTGGCCTGTGGAGAGCACCCTAACCCGGCTGCAATTGAAGAGCTGTGAATCTTCCAAGGGGCAGGTGGGCGCACAGTGTCCCTGAGGCCCAGCTTGTCTGGAACTGCGGAGTTCTGAGCAGGCAGAGGAGGGACACTGGTTCTGCAGGCCCAATGGCTTGGGGTAGTGCGGTGTCAGAGGCTCAGTAGCTCCAAGCATAGAAGGGGATTTTCAACAGATCCTGAGGAAGCTTTCAAATAACACTTGAAACACAGAAATATACAAAATGACAAAACGAAAGACCAAATTACAACCTCAAACCTCCAGCCCATCTCAGGAAACCCTAGGAGCAATGTATATAGAAGAAAATATATCCGATCCACCTCATATATCGGACATAATAGCTACTGAAGTTGACAAACAACTCCAGGAAGCTTTAAAGAAATTCAAACTCGAAATAATCTCCCAGATAAAAGAAGAAATGATAAAAGAAATGAAAGAGATTCTAAATATATCTAAAGAAAACACAGATAAAAAATTGGAGGAACTAAACAAAAAGATAGAATCCCTAGATGAGCAATATAAGAAACAAACAGAATACATAATGCAGATGCACAGAGATATACAGGAAATAAAAAACTCCACTGAAAGTTGTAAAAACCGCCTTAATGAAAGTGAAGATAGAATTTCAGACCTTGAAGACATGATTGCAGCTAGTGAACAGGAAAGGAAAGATCTTTTGAAAATAACAAGAAATCAGGAAACAACAATTCAACAACTGCAAGACGATGCAAAGAAGAATAACATAAGAATGATAGGGATTAATGAAAGAGAGGGAGACAACATAAAGGATGTCAAGCGGATATTTAGAGAAGTAATAGCTGAAAATTTCCCAAGCATGAGATCAGAAACTGACATCAAGATCAGTGAAGCATATAGAACTCCAAACAGTCATAACCAAAATAAAACTACACCCAGACATATAATAATCACCATCCCAGAAATCCAACACAAGAATAGATTACTAAAAGCTGTCAGAGAGAAAAGACAGATCACTTATAAAGGAAAACCTATCAGAATCACAGCAGACTTCTCAGCACAAACGATAAAGTCAAGAAGAGCATGGAGTGAAATATTCCAGATCCTAAAGCAAAATGATTTCCAACCAAGACTGATATATCCTGCAAAACTATCATTCAAAATAGATGGTGCAATACGATACTTCCATGACAAAGAACAGATGAAGAACTTCATGAACACCAAACCGACCCTGCAAAAAATATTGAAAGACAGTTTAGATACACAAAGGAAAAAACCACTAAGCAAAGCAAATAATTAAACAGAACAGAAAGATAAAGATGCAACAGCAGAGAGATAACATTCCTACAATTAACCAGCATTTAACAGTAATAACCATTAATGTAAATGGTCTCAATGCACCAATCAAAAGAAACAGACTAGCAGAATGGATCAAGAAACAAAATCCAACCATATGCTGTTTACAGGAAACCCATCTAACCCAGAAGGATACTCACAGACTGAAAGTCAAAGGATGGAAAACAATTCTTCATGCAGCAGGAATCCAGAAAAAGGCAGGAGTAGCCATTCTGTTTGCAGACAACGTGAACTTTAAACCAACAATAACCATAAAGGACAAAGAAGGTCACTACATACTTGTAAGGGGAAAACTCCAAGAGGAAGAGATAACTATCTTAAATATATACGCACCAAACTCCAGAGCACCAAGTTATATAAAACAATTATTAACAGAAATGAAAACTCAAATTATCAGTAACACAATTGTAACAGGAGACCTTAATACGCCATTGACACCAAGGGACAGATCAACCAGACAGAAAATGAGCAAAGAAATAACAGAACTGAATCATACCTGTGAACAAATGGGTTTGATAGACATATACAGGATGTTCCACCCAACAACATCAGAATACACATTCTTCTCAGCAGTACATGGATCATTTTCTAAAATAGACCATATATTAGCTCACAGAACATATTTAAACAAGTGCAAAAGAGCTGAAATCATCCCTTGCATGTTATCGGATCATAGCGCTCTGAAATTAGAAATTAATGATAAAAGATACTGCAAAAATCCCACAAACACATGGAAACTGAATAACACACTCTTGAGTAATCAGTGGGTCACAGAAGAAATTAAAGAAGAAATTAAACAATACCTAAAAGAAAATGAAAATGCAGATACAACTTACCGGAATCTGTGGGATGCAATGAAAGCCGTTCTGAGAGGAAAATTTATTGCACTGAGTTCCCACATCAGGAAAACAGAACGAATACAAATAAATAACTTGATGCTACACCTCAAACAGCTAGAAAAAGAAGAGCAAGTCAAGCCCAAAGCCAAAAGAAGAGAGGAAATTATAAAAATCAGAGCAGAAATCAATGCAATAGAGACTAAGAAAACAATCCAAAGAATCAACAAATCAAAGAGTTGGTTCTTTGAAAGAATAAATAAAATCAATAAGCCCCTAGCCAACCTTATTTAAAAAAGGGAAGAAAAAGCTCAAATTCATGCAATAAGAAATGAAAAAGGAGAAATCACTACAGACCCAATAGAAATACAGAAGATCATCAACACCTACTTCGAAAACCTCTACTCTCAAAAGTTTGATAACACAGAAGAAATAGACAGATTCTTAGAAGCATATGAAGTGCCAAAGCTAGATCAAGAGGATGTAAAACTGTTGAATAACCCAATCTCTGTTACTGAAATTGAAAATGTAATTAAGTCCTTACCCACCAAGAAGAGCCCAGGCCCAGATGGATTCACTGCAGAATTCTACAAGAAATACAAAGAAGACCTAATGCCGACACTCCTCAAACTGTTCAATGAAATTGAAAGGGAAGCAATCCTTCCTAAGTCGTTCCTGGAAGCAAATATTACTCTAGTACCAAAACCTGAGAAAGACCCAACTAAAAAACAGAACTATAGACCAATCTCCCTAATGAACACAGATGCAAAAATCCTCAATAAAATATTGGCAAATAGGATCCAGCAAATCATCAAGAAGATTATACACCATGACCAAGTGGGATTCATCCCAGGAATGCAAGGATGGTTCAACATACGCAAATCAATAAATGTAATCCACCATATCAATAAAGCCAAAAATAAGAATCACATGATCATTTCTATAGATGCAGAAAAAGCCTTCGATAAGGTCCAACATTTATTCATCATAAAAACTCTACAGAAAATTGGAATAGATGGTCTTTACCTCAATATAATAAAGGCCATTTATGACAAACCAACAGCCAGCATCATTCTAAATGGCCAAAAATTGAAAGCCTTTACTTTAAAATCAGGCACAAGACAAGGATGTCCTTTATCACCACTCCTATTTAATATAGTACTGGAAGTACTAGCCAGAGCAATTAGGCAAGAAAGAGAAATAAAAGGGGTAAAGATAGGAAAAGAAGAAGTTAAGTTATCATTGTTTGCAGATGACATGATACTCTACATAGAAGACCCCCTAAACTCCATTGAAATACTCTTAGATACAATAAATAAATTCAGTAATGTGGCTGGATACAAAATCAATACTCAGAAATCAATAGCATTCCTATACACGAACAACAAAATTACAGAGAGGGAAATAAGAGAAACTGGACTATTCACATTAGCAAGCAAAAAAATGAAATATTTAGGAATTACTCTTACGAAAGAAGTGAAAGACTTATACAGTGAAAACTATAATACACTGAAAAAGGAAATTGAAGATGATCTCAGAAAATGGAAAGACATCCCTTGCTCATGGATAGGAAGAACAAACATTGTGAAGATGGCCATTCTCCCAAAACTCTTATACAGATTCAATGCAATCCCAATAGAAATACCATCAACATACCTTATAGATCTAGAGAAATCACTCCTAAATTTCATCTGGAACCAGAAGAGACCTAGAATCGCAAAGGCAATTCTAAGCAGCAAAGGCAAAGCAGGAGGCATCACAATCCCTGACTTGAAATTATACTACAAAGCAACAGTAGTAAAATCAACATGGTATTGGAATCAAAACAGAGGCGAAGATCAATGGAATAGATTAGAAGATACAACCACAACTACGAACACACTCAACCACCTTATCTTTGATAAAGGAGCCAAGCAGGTTCACTGGAAGAACGACAGTCTCTTTAATAAATGGTGCTGGAAAAACTGGCTCTCCATTTGCCTAAAACTAAAGCTAGACCCATGTCTATCACCATGTACTAAATTAAAATCTAAATGGGTCAAAGATCTGAATATTAAAACAGAAACACTAAATCTATTGGAAGACAAAGTGGGTAGAAACCTTGGAGACATAGGAGTAGGTAGAGAATTCATGAACAGGACTCAAACCGCACGGGAAACACTTCCCAGAATCAATAACTGGGACCACATCTTATTAAAAAGTTTCTGCATGTCAAAAGAAATCTCCAGCATAGTGAAAAGAAAACCCACAAACTGGGAAAAGATTTTAGTGAACTCTCTCTCAGACAAGGGACTCTTGTCTAAAACATATAAAGAATTAAAAAAACTCAGACCTCCAAAATTCAAAGATCCAATCCAAAAATGGGCATCTGAGATGAATACGCAATTCTCAGATGAAGAAATGCAAATGGCAAATAAATATATGAAAACATGCTCATCATCATTGTTCATCAGAGAAATGCAAATTAAAACCACACTGAGATTCCATCTCACTCCTGAAAGAATGGCCAGGATCAAGAAAACCAACAACAACAAATGCTGGAGAGGATGTG